ATCCAATGAATTGACAAAGTTTATTATTATAAAAGTTACTTTGACAAAAAAATTTCAGACACAAGTTATATTATCTTTAGAATATTGACACAGTATTCCAATGGATTGACAAAATTTATTATTATAAAAGTTATTTCGACATAAATTCTAAGTAGGGTATGTATACAACAAAACTATTTTATTTTAATTTTAAGCCAGTAGGTTATATAAAAAAAATGGAGGGTACATAAAACTTTATAAGTTAAGTTTATAAGTTAATTACACCAGGAGTACTGGGATAAAAGAACACACTGAATATACTAAAAAAAAAATTAATTTAGCCAAAAAATGTTTCAAAACTTACCGAGATATGTGCAGTTAGAATTTTGAGTAAATTTGGAATTTAGGTGTCTCATATATTTTCCTTGCCTCAGGGATGATGGTACAGTAGGCTGAAAATATAATGAGATTAAAATTATTACGTGCGTACTGCACCCGCACAACCAATTAACGTCCTGGGGAGTTTCGGACGGATGGAAGTGTCTCCTCCAAAGTGAATACCCCTAGGCACACTCACACAGCACACACACAGAGGTCTGGATCGATGGCCAAACGTTGGTCGCCAATTTGTAGCCGCTTTTCTTCTCAGGCTGACTACTCACCGGCTGACCCAGTGGAGAGATTTATGAGATAACCTCAGGGCGCCTTTTAAGAGAACAGATGTGTGTGCGTGTGGGAAACCTACGGGATTCCCTAGAGGAAAACAACTTACACCTCAGTTATACATACATGTATATTTCAAAAAAACTTAATTTATTTTACAATAAAAAAAATTAAATAAATTAATCAGTGGGAGAAAAAAAAAAAAACCGCAGCGGAGCGCGTTAGAGCCGAGCTGATGGTGCTCGGAGCCTTCTCGTCCTCACTCCAGGAGGTCACTTCACCATCCGCCCGAGTCGGCTATTTATATTAGATATTGAGAAAAGTTCACAATTGGTATTTATAAAGTTAAATAGAGGTACGTATCCCTTGGGTACGGCTGTCCGCTTGCTTCGTGAGCCGCGCAATCGCCAGCTTGCCAGAGGGTACCGAGAAACTTGAATCTGAACCAGAAGGCCACAAACCAACAAGCACGCCGTCTGAGACTGACCCCGAAATCTGGGACCCTACGAATGGATTAGCACTCATATAATTAATCAGGTTCCAGAAACAAATAGGTACAAAAAAAAATTAAGACCATACTCACCACTCTCGTGGGTACTTTTGAACAGATAATATATTACGAAAATCAAATCACACAACAATCAAAACACTATTTAAGATTGGAAGACACGAGATAGCAGAGTGTCTCCCGTGGCTGAAAGCCGGACTTATATATCTTCCGTTCCCGAAGCTTCTAGAAATTATCCCTACTCAACATTTTACTTTGACATTTAAATTATCGACGAGGTTAACACGACCAAAATCAAAAGTAACTCGCTTTCTACCATAACAAAACACTCTCAATACCTATACAATTTGTCACGACAAATCAACAAACTGACTTATCCACAAACAAACGCCATCTAGTGGTCCGACAGTGAACGAAGAAGATCAATACTGTAGTTATAAACTACTTTAGATAAATCAACAACAATGCGACGCGGCCAATAGGTGTCGCTTTTAACAAGACCGTACGCATTACAAATATACTAAAAAATAACTGTTACAATATAGAATACAGTTACAGCTACCGAACTTAAGTGTGCTATACGGCGACTAAAAGCTTCAATAGCTTGTGGTCCTGACAACATACCTGCCTTTTTAATAAAGGATTGTTTGTCAGCTTTGGAAGTGCCGTTACTTCATGTTTATAATCTCTCTCTTAGACAATGTTTATACCCTAGTAAGTGGAAAGTGTCCAGGGTGATGCCAATACCCAAATGTGGAAAATCCGCAGACATAACAAACTATAGACCTATTGCTGTATTGTGTGTATTTGGAAAGATATTTGAATCTGTCCTCAATAACGCCATTTATAAACAAATAAAGAGACAATTAAATGATTGCCAGCATGGGTTTCGTCCTGGACGCTCCACGTTAACTAATCATTTAGAATTTGTATATTTTATAAATACTAGAGTTAAGTCTGGCTGTCAAGTAGACGCCGCATACTTTGATTTTAAAAAAGATCTCAAAAAAAAAGTTTGATCTCGTCGATAATGATGTACTTTTAAACAAATTTTCTGTATTGGGCTTTTCAACTTCTCTATTAAAATTTATGGCAGATTACTTAAAAGATCGTAAGCAGTTTGTTAAGGTAGAAGGATATAAATCGGAAGAATATTATACTCGATCAGGGGTCAGTCAGGGTAGTACCTTAGGTCCTATGCAATTTCTGATAATGATCAATGATTAACTAATGTTATATTAAATGCAAAATGTCTGATGTTTGCCGATGATCTAAAACTGTACCTTTCTGTAAATGAAGCTAAGGATTGTTTGGCCCTATAACATGATATTGACGCTGTAGTTGAGTGGAGTCAAAAAAACAAGTTATCATTTAATAATTCCAAATGTAAAACTATCACTTTTTCTCGATCCCGTAATCCGATTACAAATACATATCATCTTGCAGGCGCCCCAATGGAACGTGTTCTCGCAATCAAGGATTTGGGAGTAACAATGGATAAAAAATTAAATTTTCATGACCAGATACTTAAAATATGCAAAGACGCTAATAAATGCCTTGGTTTCATCATCAGAATATCTTCACAATTTAAGAACACTCAAGTTATAATACAAATATACAATACTTATGTGCGTAGTAAATTAGAATATAATGCAATAGTCTGGGGTCCACGGGAGTCGTTGTATAATATTATGATTGATTGTATAATATATGAATTCAACGTAAATTCTGTAGATACCTATATAAGCGTCAGTATGGATACTACCCCTTTCTCTATCCTTCACTGTTTGTGTCAGAAATGGTGGGTTTAGATACACTTCAACTCAGATGGGAATCTACACATACAATGCATTATTGTTTGATACTGGCGAATAAGGTAGATAGCCCTGTTGTACGGGAAACAATACATTTTTGTGTTCCTGACCAATATATGCGTGCCGTTGGAAGACGACAACATAGACTCCTGTGCTGTCCGCCTACGTGGCGCTCTCCCCAGGCTGACCATAGCCCCACTGCTATAGCAATTAGGCTTATCAATGAGTTCCTTCAGTATAGTCCAGATGCAGATATATTTTTCGACTCCCAAAGCATAATTTTAAAACATATTTATACATATCTAAATTTTAAAGAGTAATTTTATAGTTCCTAAGTTGATGTAAGGTTGTTTTTGTTTACAAATTTTATGTTGTTTCTTTTTGATGGTCTGAGTTTTACAGTTGTAATAGTATGTGGTTTTTTTTTGTTAAAATTAGCATAGATATAAGCGATTAGGTGTACACTGTGATGCTTATATTTTATTAATAAAGAATTGAATTGAATTGAATAGAAAGAAGCCTTTTCCATTCTAAAGTCTATCTCTGTGCCATAATTCATCCAGATTCGTTCAGTCGTTCTTGTGTGAAAGAGTAACAAACATCCATACATCCATACAAACTTTCGCCTTTATAATATGAGTAAGATAGTTATATAGTAGACCAAAACCTCATTGTTAAGGAGAGGCCCATGTCCTGCAGTGGACTAGTAAAGGCTGTTGATGAAGGTATATATATATATATATATTGAGTTTTATTCCTTACCTGATAAATTATTGATTTTTGAGCTTTCTTATACAAACTTCTACCCCTCTATTCGCCTCCTACAGGGATAACTTAATAATTGGTCATAGATAATTGTTCAAAAATGCAAAAACATTTTTTATTTCTAACGAAAAGTTAAATGATAAGACTCTTATAGTCCTTTTTATTGATTCGCTTTACAAATTTTACTTCCCTTGGATAAAAAATTTCCCTGCAACTCAACCTGCCTCCATACCAAAATTTATCTAAATCGGATCAGCGGATCGGATCAGTAGGCCAAAACCTCCTTTCTAAGGAGAGGCTTATGTCCAGCAGTGGACTATTAAAGGCTGTTGATGATGATGATGATGATGGATTTGTTGATTCCCCATACAAACTTCCATCGCCCTTTTGACCCCTAAAGACTGATTTCTTTGACTAAATCTATCCTATGTCCTTTACCGGGATTCAGACTATCTCTATACTTAATTTCATCTAAATTCGTTTAGCGGTTTAAGCGTGAAGAGGTAACAGACAGACAGACAGATAGGCACACTTTCGCAGTGCTAATATTAGTATGAAATTTTAGTATGGATATTATCACTTTAATTTTACCAATATCTGTCAATAAAATATTTACAACAATATATTGACATCAATCACCCCACGCATTTTGACGATAAAACGATTTTTCTTTTTGAACTTAGTGGAGCGTAGTACTGTATTTCTTATTCGGTCTGTCATCCGTACGCCCAGAATAATACGCTCCATGGCTCGCTGGCAAACCTATAGTGCGGACCTCAGCTGTCCTGTCAAAGACCAAGTTTGTGCACCATACTTGAGAATGGGGCGGTTGCACATGTCCATGATTACACTTATGGCTTAAAGGAAGGTTACCTTTCATGAGGTCCTTAATCGACCTTCGAGACTTCTTTGTTTTGTCTTGCCTGTATAGAGACTATTTGGGCGAGATATAAATATTTACAACCTCCGCACCCCCTACGTATAGTCTAATTTTGGTGTTGTTAATCCGAAGTCCGATCTCGAACCTCGCCGTGTTTCCTTGAATTATACACTTGATAACCGGTTTCAATTTATTTTTTACAACTTGAAATTAACATGGCAATATGCTTGGTAATATTAAAAAGAAATAAGCATAATTATCCTTTTGTTTTACATACGTTACATTAACAATAGATAAAATTAATGTGAGATAAGTACATAGAATAAAATGAGGTATAAATAAGTAAAACAGTCGTAGGACTGAATAGTGGTGTGGTAGACCTCAAATAATCATGACTCGTACTCAGTCTTTGCGGTCAGTGATGACATTAATTTTGTTACATTCAGTTCTGGGTAAGTAAAATAACTATTGCTTAATACATTCTCGTCTTTTTTCTCGAAGGGATAGATATATTACGTATTAAACGCACATATATTGGGGACTATATCATTTTGATCCCCCTTATGTAATGGGGGTCAACCTATTGCCGTCAACCGGGCACATATATCCATACTAACATTTTAAATGTGAAAGTGTGTATGTCTGTCTGTTGGTTACCTCTCCGAGATTAAACCACTGAACCGATTTGAAATTTGGTATAGAGATAGTTTGAGTCCCGGGAAAGGACATAGGATAGTTTTAATCAAAGAAATCACCCTTTAAGGTGGTGAAAAGGAGGATGTAAGTTCGTATTGGAAATCCATAACCGCTGAACGGATTTAGATGAAATTTGGTACAGAGATAGTTTTTATCATAGGAATCATTATTTAAGGGGGGGGGGGGGTGGTTGAAGATTGTATTGGAAATCAATAACCGCTGATTCGATTTAGATTAAGTTTAGTATGGAGATTCTTTTATTTTGAGGAAGGACATATGCTTTTACGATGATAACCAACATACACGCGGGCAGAGCCGTAAGAAAATGCTATCTTCTAAATAAACCTATTTGTACAGTTCTAAATACACACATATGATGGATAAATTGCACCTAGACACAGAACAAAATGATAAAAATAAGAAATCGAACTCGAAAACAAATAAAGAAACACCAAACACGGGATCTTAAATTGGATTCCTTAACAATTACACTACCTTTTCTATCACAATTTTCTTTAAGTTAGTAAATTATTTATTTATTTAAAGCTATTTTATAAAGATTAAACAGTCTGGTCGAAAAAAAATAAGTTCAACCGTATCCAATTAGAATTAAAGCCAACCCCAACCAAGTAATTTCGCACTCAACTGTTGACTTTTTTTAACGGGTGAAGCGACCTTCCGAATAGGTGTTAGACGCAACGCACATTGTAACAGAAACGGCATGGTACTTCTTACTTGGCCAGACACGGTTTCAGCTCAGTGCAGCGCTTGACACCTACTCATATGATCGCTTCGACCTAAAAAAGATCTCCCTTCGATGAGATACTAGTAGAGCATCTCCGAAATACAGACGAGAGTGAACCCGTTAATCCTTTATAAATATGATACTAACGATTTTTTTAAATCTAATTTAAGGTGGACAGATATGCGATTTAAAGGATGAAGTATGTCTCTTAAGAGGAGCAAAAAATACTTTTAAGTCTCTCGTCGAAACTAACCATGTCGATCCATTACATGTGGACAAGATTACCGGAAGTATAGATACCTTCAAGTATGAAATAACAAATTCTACTCTATCAGGATTAAAAAACTGTGAAGTTTTAGTGGCGAAGTAAGTAACATTACGACATATTTTAATCAATATCATACAGATTGTATAGCGTTTTAGCGCTGTACAATCTTTAGCTAAATTTACAGAAAGGTATAGTTTTAGATCATCCGCAATCATCAGGCATTTTGTGTTTAATATAACATTAGGTAAATCATTGATCATTATCAGAAATTGCATAGGACCTGAGGTACTACACTGACTGACCCCTGATCGAGTATAATACTTTTCCCATTTATATCCTTCTACCTTAACAAACTGCTTACGATATTTTAAGTAATGGGCCATAAATTTTCAGAGAGAAGTTGAACATCCCAACACAGAAAATTTGTTTAAAAATATATCATTATCGACGAGATCAAACGCTTTTTTAAATCAAAGTATGCGGCATCTACTTGACAGACAGGCTTAACTCTAGTACTTATATAATCTACAAATTCTAAATGAATAGTTAAGGTTTATTGCCCCTTTTTTTGATTAAAAATGGCGTTATTAAGGATAGATTCAAATATCTTTCCAAATACACATAATACAGCAATATGCCTATAGTTTATTATATCTGCGGATGTTCCACATTTCTGTATTGGCGTCACCCTGGACACTTTCCACTTACTAGGGTATAAACATTGTCTAAGCGAGAGATTATAAACATGAAGTAACGACACTTCCAAAGCTTTCAAAGCAACCTTTTATTAAAAAGGCACGTATGTTGTCAGGACCACAAGCTGTTGAAGCTTTTAGTCGCCGTATTGCAGACTTAAATTCGGTAGCTGTAAGTCGTTCAATAGTCACTGTGGATAGGCAGCCTAAACGATTAGCCTCTTCCTCACCTACCTTTACTTCTAACAACGGAGAAGTATCATGGAACACTGAACTAAAATATTGAGCAAACGAGTTAATGGCTTCCTGTCCTTCTACAACTTGACTATTATAAGTATATGTTTTTATCGGCTGCCTATTTTTTTGCTTTTCCTTTACATACTGCCAAAAACTTAAAGGATCTAAACTTATATTGTTTTCAACCTTTAATATATATTCTTTAAAGGTTGTATTTGTGAGGTCCTTCACTTTGATCCCATAGTATTTAAAAAGTTCTTTGTTAAACTCTAAATCACAGCATTTAAACTTTTTCAAATTAAAAATTTTAATTTTATATAATATATTATTTCTTCGGTATACCATTTGGGATATATATATTTATTATTATGAGCTATTGTCCTTAAGGGAACGCGCTAGTAAGTTTATTATATAATATATCTACGGCTAGGTTTATATTTAAATTCTGCTGGATCGAGTAGTTCAGTCCAGTCAATATTAGCAACCTCACTCCATACTCAAATACTTCCCTGGAGCCAAAAACGAAGGATTGGTTGCTCTGTTAGGGAGTGTAAGCAATATCTCTAAGGGAGGGTGGTATGAATCCAAGGGCACTAAATGTTCAGTATCGGATGAATCCATATTTATTGCTAATGTAATTGCATTGTTGCAACTTACAATATTCTATAAAAAAATTAAATTGAGATCTAACAGTATCATTGCACGAATTTAAATTGAAATCGCCAACTATCAGCAACGGATATTCAGTATACATGTTGATAGCGTTTTCAATGCATGTTAAGACATTAAAGTATTGTTTACTTCTGTAACTGGGCGGAAAGTACACAACACAAACCATTAACTTAATATTCTTCCAGGTAATAATAGCAAATAATAATTCTTTATCATCAGTTAACAATGTTACATAACAGATCATTGTAGATATTTCACAATCTTAAATAAGTAAGCTTGCCTGTTTTGCCGTGTGGTGACGGATTAAGAATACAGATTGTCACCACCCCTATTCATCCCGTGGGTGTTGTAAGAGTCAACTAAGGGAAAAAACTACGCAGAACAACAACACTGCAGAGAGAAGGAAAACTTGACACATACCCTTTTTTTTTTTTTTTTTTTTTTTTTTTAACGTGTGTAAATCCCCTCGGACCGTCACCCCTCCGGGGTTTGCGGCGGGGTGGTGTGTCGGACTCGAACCGACTAAAACCACACGGTGTGCACATACCCTATACCAACCCGTCTGGCCAGCATGGTATAGTAGGCCAAAACCTCCTTTCCAAGGAGAGGCTTATGTCCAGCAGTGGACTATTAAAGGCTGTTGATGCTGATGATGATGATGCCTGTTTTTAATGAGATCATAATCGAAAGAAACTATGAGATTTGAATCATAAAAATATGTATAGGTATAATTTTGAAGTTCTAGAAGACAAAAGATTTTAAACAATTATTTTGTTAATTGTTTTCATTATAAATATACTGTACTCGTAAGCCTTCGCTGATAGATTTTGTCAATGCTATATGGTTAGCACCGGAAGCTTTAAAATCTGTTTCTCCCAACATAATTATGATTGCATTATTGACTACTGAGTATGATTGACCATAGAGTCAATCATACTCAATAGAAGTGACGCCATTTCTTAAATTTTCTAAGAGATGGCGTTACTTCTATCGATTTTTGGTCAGAATTTCTTTACCTCCTCAATTCCTTTTCAGTATCACAGATAGCCAACTTGGATCTCGTTAGACCCGCTGATTACTGCATTTTCTCGTAGATTCTTCTTGACATTTATGTGTTAGTTGATCAATTTTTAATTTGTACCCCCTGATTTTCTTTTTTCGAATAGTAGATTTTTAATCTCGTTGTCTGCGCCTTATAACTTTTCCTGAAGTGTATATAGTTTGTTTCTCATTTCGGTTATACCTTCTATTACGTTTGTATTAGTAGCAGGTATATTCCTATTAAAGAGAGAGTTATTGTATGAAAAGTCATTATCATTGTCATTTCAGGACACCTCAGCAAAGACATCGAAAGAATTATCTGTTGGAAAGTTAGTTTTACATCAACGAATAGTTATATTGTTCCTTGCAGTATCAGAAGAAATAGGACTAAGTTTTGTGACAGAATTTGTACTATTTAGTTTTATAAATTGTTCCGTTTTTCCGGTTACTTTACTTAAATTCAACATCGTCTTCAGAATATCATCCATAGAATCAGTGTACCTGTATATATGTATAATATAGTGGAATAATAATATAGTGGTATTATGTTCAAAGGTAACTTGTAAAATGATTAACGTTGATAATCAATATGAAGTTATACCAAAATCCCACAAAGTATTTAATAGACTAAATTGCCCGAAATTGCCATGAAAGAAAGAACAATAATAATCATAACCGCGGCCGGCGGTGGTAACTTTCCAGTTCAAGTTAATTCTCTGTTAAGCTTAATGTTCTTTGTATTCAAAAAGTAGAAAGAACCAGAAGAGAAAAAAGTAGGACTATCTACAAAAATAAATGAAATGCCATCAAAAACAAAACCTGTAAAAAAAACAAGTCTCGCAACTCAGTTCTTCTACCGTAAAAAGTTGTGAAATCCATGTAATACCAAGTCGGTTATTGAGTCCCTACTTAAGGGACCTTAAGTTATTACGTAATTAGCTAACCTAACAACATCAATAGTGACCATATCAATATTAAAAATCTTTTTTGTTTAAAAAAGATAGATTGACTTGGCCATCGCATGAAAACACAATGTATCTCACAAGTAATATATTATTATGTATATTATACATATTATATTAAATAAGTTTTTTTAGTGCGATTACCCGATCTCCCTCTAAAGTATGGTCCTTTTTCTTTACCTGTTACTTTTATTGCAGATATGACCTAGAAAAGAAGACATATGAAATACATTTACAGTGTCCTGCGTTAATTTTTGATTATTACTATGAAGTAGAAGGCACTTTGGGTACTACAAGTCTTAATGGTAAAGGCCTAGCTGCAATAATAATAGGTTGGTTAATAATAACATTTTTTTTTTCATTTTTCTTAATAATTTTATTTTGTTTAAAAATGGTATTTTCAAAACCTGATTTAATTCAAATGCATCCACTGCGTAATTAACTCAACTTTTTTATTCAACTGGGTGTAATTAATTTATATTAACTATATTTTTGTTCCAGATAATTACATTTTAAAATTTAAAGGAATCTACAGCAAATCCATTTCTGAAAAAGATCAAAAGCCTCGCATTACTATTCAAAATAATAATTTAGACGCTACTCTTAAAGGAAAGGTGGCATTTGAAAGTAAATATTTAATTAGTGGAAACAAAGATAAAGGTAACTTTACATGCAAAATTTACTTATTATTACAAAACTCTACGTGTATTACAATAATAACAAACATTCAATAACATCCGGGTGGAAAATGTTAAAATCACCACCGTCGCTATAGTCGTAATCGTGCTCATTCATGCCACGTTCAACAACCGTGTCTTGTGAATCAGCTGATGACGCACAACATAATTTGATACGATTTTGTATTTTGAGACTGCCGAATTCATCTCGCACTACGAATTTACACAAAACGCGTGTCGTGAGAATGAGAAATATCAAATTTAAATTCGTAATATTTGGGAATTAACGGGACTAAGTCCATGACCTTAAAATTACATTATACTACGTCGTATAATTGAAGATTGTGTTCGTTTTTCATGAATCGTATTCGCGTTGGAGTGATGACAGGATATGGACTTATGTTGTTCTGTTGAGGACGGTTCAAGAAGCGACAAAACATGTTTCACATTTAAATCTGGAAGATACACTAATAATAGAAGCTGTTGAGAAATTGTTTCAAAAAAGTTTATTAAAGAATTACATATAACCAATGTAGAGGAATATATACGTTTCATAAGCAACGTTTTCACGTTACGATTTGGCTGGGATGATCACTCGGATGCCACTTGTATCGCGTAAACACGCAATCCGAGTGCACGCGCGCGTCGGATAACGATCAGAGTTGACACGGACACGGTTCTATTTTTTCGAGTGCACTCGGATGATTTTATGTAAACAAAATGGCGTCAATAAAAAAAACTGGAGTGAACGTGACAATATGAGGTTTGTGGAATTTTATGAATTGGAGGAATTGTTGTGGAATGTGAGGCTAAATTAATATAAAAACAAAGACGCCCAACATGCTGCAATACAATGCATAATTAATAATTTACACATACTTGAACTTATGATACCAAGTAGTGAACAACAAAGTCAATAATACCCAGAATACGTACTCGCAAGAACTATTAAAAATAAAATAAAATCAACAGGGTCTTTTATTAAAAGTAAAAAGTCGTTTCTTTTTTTTTAAATCCTTTCGCCTAGGCTCGCCTAACTTTAAATGCGACTTAAAACTCACGAACCATAAACTGTAACTGTGTTTCGTTTACCATTTCATCGGACGATTTTGTTAACTGGAACTGCCAACTTTCAAAACAAACCAAAGAAATCCTTATAATGCTCATAATAAAAACAACAAATGTTATAGTTTAAAAACTGCTGTACCTGCATAAGTTTAAAAAGCTCTGCAGTAAGATCTATTTTAATATTATATGTTAGATCTCTATCGACAGGTTTTTGTACTGATCAATGTTTTGTTTTGCAGTTGAAATAGCCATAGAATACTTCAATTCAAGACCTGAGGAAAGCGAAAAACTATTTCGGACTTATATTCTGGAGAAGTATGTACCAATATTAGAAAAAGAAGTCAACACATACCTGTCAACTATTACTCTAGATGAACTGATTTCAAGTTATTAGGAAGATTATGGATTTTGGAAAAAATATCTGATAGCTCCAACTAAGAACCAAGCAGTTACTAATTGAAATAAACATTTGTATAATGTTTACGAAATTCATTTACTTTCTATAAAATATGTAACTGTTATTACTAATACTAGCTTTTCGATCAATTTTAAAAAATCAAGATCTCAAACAAATGCAAGAAAACAAAAAACTTTGTTGGGTTGTGTTTTTATACGCAATAATATTGTTTTGCTTGAGTGCTCGAAACAGTTTTTTTAGTTCCACCAGTCACAGTAGGAATGTTTCATCAAAGGATGTAGGAGTAGGACATTATTTACTATGACTATGATATTCATTCGGATAGTTTTCGAATGAGTCAGAATACTGTCTGCATTTAGAGCTCACAACCAAAACTGGACAATGTCTTACTCATAATATTGTGTCTTTCCTTATATTCCTATTTTTAATTCATGTTTTTCATAGATTTTTCCAATTATATTTTATGTGTTTCCATCTCACGAACCTTATCCGGATACGTTAAAAAAATAATAAGACAGGTCGTTTCATAGCTTCTTAATTAGACTGTCTAATCAATTGAAATAAATATTTGTACAACTTTAAAAAAAATCATTTACTGTGTAATGTTACGTTCATATTATGAAATTAAAAATATGCCAATTTTTCAAATAGTGTATAAAAAACGTCCAAGTGCCAGTCTAGTCTGCACACATCGTACTTGATTAAAGAAAAACAACTAAAAGTCATGTTTACATATTCTTTATTATCAAAGTGGTTCTAGCAAAACACTATGTATCTATTACGACAGGTGAGATATATGCCAAACTACGAAAAGTTTCCTCACGATTACTTATTCCTGGTAATCTAATATTTGTTATGTTGAATAAATAAATAGATTCCAAGTAATTACAACTTGTACTCTTTTATCTTGTCACCAAGTTCAAACATGTGATACAATTTACATTAACAATTCTCACGACGAGGCTATCGCTGCTGTAACAACAAGGAAATCTTGTAGTTATACTTAGGACCTGTAAGTTGTTCCTTTGAAAGTTATGTCATTGCCTCGTAGGTATGTTGCTCGCAGAACAACAGCACTACAGAGAGAAGGAAAACTTGACACAAGCCTTATACCAACCCGTCGGCATGCGTGCGACTATTAAAGGCTATTGATGATGTTGCTCTTGGTATCTTCAATTAATTTTTTTTTCACTTTCTGACAATTTGTGGTAAAGTACTTTTAGGTATTGCTATGTTTTAAAAACAGGGTTGTAACCTTCGAAATAAACGATTCTCTAGGTACACGTGTACTAGGGAGGGAGGTCGCATCACCTACTGACTGACACAGGTACTCACTGGGTATGGTTGCTTCGGGTGTCTGAACGCGAGGTCCTGGTCGACCAAATTGGACGAGACCTGTCCCCGTCAGCAATCATTGCTGCCATGCTGGTGGGTGAGGAGGGCTGGAGCGTAGTGGTCTTTTTCTCACAGAAATACTGTAACGTTCAAGAAAGAAACCACTGAACGGTATCGGGAGAGGGCCGATCCGCCCTGCGGTAGGATTGAGGCCTGATTGCACCAAAATGCGATCGGGACCCTAGATTTAGTGATAGTCGGGGGGAGGCCTCTGGCTTATCTCGGGATAGGGCCGTTAGGGAAGTTTCTTGCTATTTGTGTTCCAATACAATTATTTGGTTGTAGAAAAATAACTTGTACACGGAGTTATTACGGGGTCTCTACTTTATAGTAGCACTTCGTAAAATACCTAATTAACCCTTGGAATATTTAAGTCCCTTAATTAGGGAACTTTTTTGAAGTTAGAACCTGTAGTGATAGTGTGTAATTAAATATGTAATTGAATTTTGAGCTTTTTCTTACTTCGCTTATTTCTATGGTGTATCGAATAAAAAAAATTAATGTTTATTTAACACAAAGTAAATACACACACATTCTTTCACTAAAGACACATTGTTGTTTAAACATTAAAATATGTATAAATCTAATGGTACTGTGAACTGTATTCCAAACTAGGCTATTGCCAGTATGTTGGTAGACAGCGTTCAGTCGTGGGGTTTTGTTACCAATATTAACCAGGGACGTGAAAGTCCTTGTGGTGTCTTTCATAACGGTTTGAGGTAAGTGACAAAGCAAGTATTAGAAAGTATTTTTAAAATTAATGTTAATATTCATTTGAACACCCATGTATGCTTGTGTATGAGTGTGTGTGCGTATGTGTGTTGTATGTGTGTTGTATGTATGTATGTGTGTGTAGACATTCAGTTCTTCACACACGGAATTGATCGGTGTTACGCTTATAGATATTCGTATTCATATTTTTTTGCAAAATATTTCTAAGCATCTGTGGTGTTTCGAGCCATTACCTTCAAAATCTAGTTATATATATATATATATATATATATATATATATATATATATAATGTACATGTTCGTAACCTATGTATTAACATCTAGAGTACCTCTTCATTTCATTTTTCATTTCTTTTACTTCTCTTCATTTCATAACTAACGATACAAGTTTGGTTAAACACCCAAAATCTGTATAAACCGGATGCTATACTGTGAATATACAGGACCATATAAAAACCAATATAGCATCGGTCAAATCCAGATTCATAAAAATGATCATCAAAGGACATAATCTCACCTATTTAATCCACTATCTGGTATGCAGCAGGAAACCCGTGGATAAACGTAGTGCACGAGAGCACCAATAATTTGGTTGAAGTTAAGTCAGAGAAGCCTTGTTTTACTTTCATGCCCTCTAGCAGAGATAGTGAATATGTTGTTAAACTTACAAATGCCGAATAGCCTAAATATTTAGTAATTGTTTATTTTTTATCATATGAAACTAAGAAAACAACTGCATAGCAATACCGAAAAAGGCAGGACGAATAGGTACATGTTTTATCTAGTGATGCCGTGAGTGTTCCACAAGGACGTAAAGGTATTAATTAGCGCCCAAAATCTCTCGGCAACTGATCGCTTATGAGTACAGTTCTGATAACACCGTCTTTTTGAAGTTGAATAGAGCCTTTTGCTCTCTGAAGAATACAAAAGCCGAAATCAACTCTCAAAGAATCATCAACTCTCTTTATGTATGCTTTTGCTTCCGTTATCACTCAGTATAACGATCTGCTCTGAGTGATTCCATCCGGAGGAAATCCGACCAAACTAACCAAGTGACGAAAAAGTACAAGTATGGAATTAAAAATAAGTTGAAAACAGAATTTACAATAATTAATTGTTAAATATTGCCTTGACAGCCATGACACATATTTTGTCGGTCATAAAATACACAATACTTTTTGAGTTTTATTCTAGGAAAATACTCTAAAGCAACACCTGACATTTGACTACAAATGACATAAACGTTTCCCCACCGTGCTAATTTGCCTACAAAAATGTGTCAAGAAAACTAAGCAAGAGTCCGGCCTTTGCTGTCCATATTTCGCCATTAAAACTGGCTAATTGAGGAGAATGTCAGCTAAAGGAAATTTGGCGAAGTGACTTTCCTTGTACCGTTAGTAATTGTGGACTGTAACGGAGGCAATTGCGTGTTTGCCTACTACAATATTTTATTATGGTATAAGTAACAAAGTGTAAAATCGAGAATAAATGTATACTTGGTTAATTTTATTACTTTGTGAACTGTTTCTAAGTGTTTTATAGCAATATTGGATCCTAAAAATAACTTTATTCTATTGTAGCATGCACGTCAATTATATCTCGATTTTGTAACGATTGGGGACACATTATTTGGCACACAGATTGTATCGTGAATAAAAACACAGATATGCGACAAACTGACATTTAGAGAACTTATATAACTGGTCTTTGCTTCTCCTGATGTGGAAAGTATCCATAATTCCCACTAGCTGACTATTTAAAAAGATCTAAAATCTATCTGACTTTAATTTTTAAGACTTCGTTTTTACATTTTTAGTGACTACTTAGTCTATCTTCAATATCTCGTAGACATGGACCTATATTATATTTCGTAAAAATTGGACCGGTGGATTCACACCATACTAGTTTATTTGTTCATTTTACTATTTTTTAATGTTCAACTTATTTGTTACTGTCTTGCTCTGTTTATGTGTATTTGAATCGCTTACATTCATAAAGTTTAAACACCTTTGTATATTATATTAAATTGCTTAATAGTTGTGTTTTAAGCATACTTATGAATATATAATATAATAATAATATTTTATAAAGAAATTCGCTACTTTCCAGAAATTGCACCAACCCCTATTTTACCTACCCTGTTATGTAAGTTAGTCTTTAAATACGCCTGAACTTTGAGTTCGTGCGATAAAAAGTTAATTCCACTGTTATTATCGGAAACTTACCAACTTGTACAATAGTTCTCAACTTCTCTACATTTCATGATATTTTGCAAAGTCGTGCAGTAGTTTATAACTGATCTTTAAAAATAATGTTAGAAGCATTTCAGAAATAAATTGAATTACAAAGAATTGTGGGCAAGTTTTAGATATGTATTTTTCAATTTTCACATTACGACTACATGAAAAACAAAACTCAAAAAGTCGTGTTTACAAGTTTTATGTGTCAATTTTATATGTATGAGTGTATGCAACGTTGTACGTTTTATAAATTAATATCATTATTAAAAATGGTTTGCATTACAGGCATGCGATCCAGGTCCACTCAGGAGTAGGCTTGGGTCGCTTCCATATGCATTCGTATAAGAAATATTGTTTTCCCTCCATTGGCTTGCGTTCCTTTATTCTTAATTTGTTATTATTGTTATTACTTATACCTAAACATTTGGAAATGCTTGTATGTGTTTGTAAAATGTAATTAAATAATATATTTATGTTTAATATATAAAGGTGTATGTTATATGTGGAAAGTGGTACCCAAAATAAGCTCTAGAAGTTTTTCGGGGTACCCTGTAATACCTTATAAATAATTAAATATCTCGTCAGGTCATATGTATGTTAAATAATGTA